CAAAAAAACATGTTCGGATAAAAAAGAGAGTTGCCATGTGCTCACAAGCATGCTAGAGAAGTTGCCATGTAAAAGAAAGAGTTGTCATCTGCTTACGTGCACGCTAGGGCAGTTGCCATGTATCATGCAAAAACACATGGCAACTCGGGTAAAAGAGAGTTGCCATCTGCTTACAAGCAAAGCTAGGGCAGTTTCCATGTACCCTGCAGAAACACATGGCAACTTGACAGCTTGGGTGTGCAAGGAGATGGGCGTGTGGGCGAAGTGATAAACGCCCACACATCAGCCCCTCTGCGTGCGTGAAAACCGGTGTGTGGGCGAATTGCTAAACGCCCACACACCAGCCCCCAGTGTGCTGAAAAAGGACATGTGGGCGACCGGACAAATGCCCAAACACCAGCCTAGTCCTATGTGGCACACAAAAACTGCTAGAACGCGCCAAGATTCGTGCAGAATTGGTTGGACGAGGATCCATGCGTGTGGGCGAGTTGCCAGACGCCCACACATGAGGGCGTTAGTCTTTCCGTAAAATAAAATCTACCTGGGACGAAAGAAACCACAGATATATTGTTAGCAGGGAAAGACCACAAATCACGGATATCAATCCTTGACTCCAACAGTCCAACTCTTGGACATTTGTTGAAGGTGTGAAAGATTCATATTCATTGTTGTACATAGGGAAATCAGTTTGCTTTTTTTTATCAGCACCTAAAAGAGCCCTGCCTCAAGGCCAGTTCGTTTCACCTCTCAATTCTCCAGAAATTGATTCTGGGAATCTGCCCACAAAATCGTCTGCTGGCTTGGTGAAGACGGGGCCGGGCGAAGAGGAGACGGGCGGGCGGGTATGGTGAAGACAGCTAACCGGGCGTACGGGACGATGTGGCGGAGTAGGGTGGCTGCTGCCAACGGATTTGATGGCGGTAGGTCAGGGTTGCCGGTTGGAGCCGGGAATCCTAGCTCGAGGGCTCACGTGGCTGGTACGGTGAGAAGAACGCGATGGGAGAGGACACGAGAGATGTTAGGGTGTGTTCTCGGCCTCTGTTAGTCTGGACCGAGTGGCAATTTGGACGTAAATTGGTTGTCAAATAGGGGTAGTAGTTCAAAACGAACTGGACTTGAGGGATCGCCCACTTCTTTACTCTTACTAGTGGCTGGGCCGCCACCTAGTGGTGCCTCTTAAGGCAGGATTGTCCGCACTAATCAAGCTCTCGTATTTGAGGTGGGATTATGCACACTAATCAAACTGACGTATTTGTTAGAGTGAAGTGCACTGTAGGTCCTTAAACTATTTCAGGGGTGTCACATAGGTCCTCGAACTATGAAAATCGTCATTTAGGTCCTCGAAGTACAGTAAGTGTGTCATCCAGGTCCAAAATCTCACTAACCCCCTCTAAATGGCCAGCTGGCATGGTGAACAGTGCGAAAAATAAAAAAATATGAACAAAAAAAATCTGAAAATCTTTGGCATCAAAGATACCCCTGGTGCGTGAATAGTAAAAATGTTCATTAATTCAAAAAGATGTTCGCGAATATGGGAAAAATATTCGCGACTTTAAAAAAGTTCACAAACAATAAATTTCAAAATATGTTCGCGAACCACAAATATTGTTCGTGGGTATGGAAAAAAATGTTCGTGAACCACAAAAATTCCTGACTTTAAAAAATGTTAGTGAACTTTTTATTAAAGTCGCAAATATTTTTTCCGAATTCATCGTTCGCGAACATTTTATTAAAGTCACGAATATTTTTTCCAAATTCATCGTTCGCGAACATTTTTTTAAAGTCATGAATATTTTTTCCAAATTCATCGTTCACAAACTTTTTTTAAACTCGCGAATATTTTTCCCAAATTCATCGTTCACGAACATTTTTTTAAAGTCGTGAATATTTTTTCCAAATTCATCGTTCGCGAACTTTTTTTAAACTCACGAATATTTTTTTAAAGTCACGAATATTTTTTTCCAAATTCATCGTTCGCGAACATTTTATTAAAGTCACAAATATTTTTCCAAATTCATCGTTCGCGAACTTTTTTTGAATTAACGATATTTTTACTGTTCACGCGCCAGGGTCTCTTCGATGACAGAGGATCTCGATTTTTTTATATTTTTTATATTTATTCTTTGTTATGTACTGTTCATCACGCACAGGAATTCAGGACTGTTTGGCGTGTACTGTTACGGTTACTGTTTATGTGTCAGCTGGCCAGTTAGAGCTTGTCAGGGAGATTTTGGACCTGAATGACACACTTACTGTACTTTGAGGACCTAGATGACGATTTTCATAGTTCGAGGACCTACGTGACATCCCTGGAATAGTTCAAGGATCTACAGTGCACTTCACTCTATTTGTTAACATGTTGACAGTGTATTCGGTCATGTTCTTTTCAATCATGTAAAAAAATTCCAAACCTGAACCGGATAGATAGTTGTACAAGTAATAAAGCAACTCGTTACACCCTCACAAAATGTCTGGCCGACAGTAACCTAGAAATATTATATGTTAACAGAATTGTTCCCAGAGTGTGAAAATCTCACGGACTCTTCTTCACAAATAAACAAAATGTAATCCACAGAAAGATAATAGGAGGATAGAGTAACTAAAATTGTGTGATAATAAGCTCCGGTAGAAAAAAAATCAATTCTACATGCATAAAAAGAAATTCAAATCTTAGAGGACATGAAGGAGGCAATTTCAACATTGATATACCAGTTTTAGCTTAACATGCCTACAAACTTAAAGTTGGCTGATTATAACTCTACGTTTATGTAATCTGGTACTTTTCTTCAGATATCATTATTAATTTTGCTAATTACGAGTAAGTAGATCAACGTTGTCGATCAATATTTTAGTTACTAAACCATCTGGGTCCATTAATAATCTGCAGGAGTTATAATTGAAATGCTCCTTTAGGATATTGTACAATTTCATTTTTTGTAAAAAATTATAACTAAATAGTCACGAAAACAAATATAAGCATGGAACATTGCACTGAAATGGGACATCGAGCACGTATTGGTAAAATACTGCTAATACATAACAATTTATACCGCCAAACTCACGTGCAGCATCACTATTTATAATAAAACTTTAATAGATGTTTAAAAGTCTTTTCTTAATTACAGACTTACAGTCGTAGCTAATTACTATGTAAATGAAACTACATTTTTCTTTACATTTTTCAATATAATATGTTTAAAATATTTAAATCAATTCCACTTAAATGTGCTAAAATCATAACGGAGAATTTGCATGCCTTTTTGAATTAATTTATGAATCTTGCAGTAATATAGGTATATGTATGTGCCATTTACTATCTTAATAAATAATTCTAAATATTGTGGTGTAAAAATGTACTCCCTCTGTCCCATAATATAGGACCTTTTTTGACACTAATTGATAGCCGTGTTTATAATTAGATATATCTAAATAGAAAAATCTGGAGTACACAAAATGTTTAGAAGGAGCTTTCTACCTAATAATTGACACGTGTTTTATTCATTTTTACTGATCAACTGATTCTAATGTAATATCATGGGTTCGATAATTTTAGAAGTATCACACCGTCATTCCCCGTGATGAACTAACAGTAACTCTTCATCCCGCGGCCTGGCTGGGCCTGGCTGAAGAGGCCCTTTTCGTCCACGTATAGGCTGAATAGTGACTCTTTATTTGCACACAAGCTCAAGAGGCACTCTTCATTCCAAGCCCACCGATGACATGGATTACGGTGCGCGCGACCAATGACAACAATAGGGTGATGCACAATGTTTACAAGGTTAGGAACATCTAGATGAACATATAGATGAGAGTAATTGGAAGATTTCTCACCGAGCACGATGTAGGCTTGTGAGTTGTGACGGGCGATGTACATTGAAAGGCCAAATTTCGGCCCTGTTCGGAATTGATCCGCTCAACAGAGTTGCGGAGCTCGGTTTTGGCAGCTCTGTCAAAGTGAGCTGCAGTCTCGTCCACTCCGGGAGCGGAGTTAAAGGAGCGGAGATGAACCGAACTCCCTTATTTTCCACGATGCACAATTCTAGTTTGGTTTGAATAAAATTTCTCGGCATTGATATGATCCTGATGGCATGGCAGGGACGCGAGCTTGCCTTAGCTTACTGTATGTAGGTGTAGTCCTTTTGTTTCGGGCCCAAAGCAAAAGAAGATTGCCTCATGACCATACGAAAAGGGCATTTTTGGCCCATAAGCAGATGAAGAGTCACTCTTGGTTCGACATGGGACCGACGAAGTGATACTTATGATTTTTTTTGAATCAGAACCATAATTTTGATATTGCGTAAAAAAAATTATAACAAAATTCCAATAACTGAATTGACCACTCAATGCAAACGACACTTCTAAGCTACCAAGAGCATTGCCTACCTCTTTTCTATAATTAAGCACACATGCTATCGCATAGCGGAGGATTTTGTAGCCACCCAACAACCTTGGCACGAAATCGTCAAAACCTGCAAGCTGATCGGAGGGGAAAACTTGGTTGATCACCAAGCTGGACGCTCAGTCCAAAGTCCAAACCATTGCACAAACATAGTCGTCGTTGACTATTTTTTTTTAATACTCCCTTCGTTCACTTTTATAAAACATTTCAGACAACCGACATTGCCCTGTTTTGGGTGATGTCTGAATTGTTTATAAAGTCTTATAAAAGTGAACAGAAGGAATACTGTATGAGTATAAGTGGAGTATTTTCATGGTTGCTAGTGCCCCCGGCAAGCAACGGGACAAACCTGACAACGCGTCCGAGGCAACGAGACAAAGCGCAGTCAGTGTCAGTCTAAAAGCCCAAGTCCTATAAACAAAACAAGCCTTCTTGCTGCACCGCGTCTTCATCACTGTCGAATCCTCCAACGAAGCTGCTGCTCAGCTTTCTCGCTATATATTCGGATTGCAGCCTTGCAGCGAAGGGTACTCTGCTTCTCATCCACTGCAACTGCAAGCTCCACCTCCACACACACAAAGAGGCGCAGCAGCAGCCAGCAATGACGCAGAGGATCGTGATCGCGGTGCAGATGGCGAGCAGCAGGTGCCGGTCCAAGGCGCTGGCGCTGGTGGCGGCCACGCCGGGGGTGGACTCGGTGGCGCTGGCCAGGGACGGCAAGGACCAGCTGGTGGTCGTCGGCCACGGCGTCGACTCCGTCAAGCTCACCAGCGCGCTGCGCAGGAAGGTCGGCCACGCGCAGCTGCTGCAGGTCGGCGACGCCAAGAAGGAAGACGCGAAGAAGCCGCCGGCCGCGGTCGTGGTCGAATACTACCCGTACGGTTACTACTACCCATCGCAACCGGCGCCGGTCAACTTCTACTACGAGCAGCAGCACTACCCTGCTGCTGCCGCCGTCGAGGCGTACGGGTACCCATGCTCGCGGCCGGAGCCGGGCACCTGTTCGGTAATGTAGACCACATCACATGCTGATTGGGTAGCGCGTTGATTACTTATACTGACTTTTGCCGGTCATACTTGACGATCAAGAGCTTGGCACCTCTCAAGTTTTCATGGTGGTATCGGACTTGATGGAGTATCTACTAAGGTTCAGCTAGCTACTGTGTCGAGCTTCAGTTAGTTATAAGCTTCCTTCGATGTCAGGTCTTGTCTTCTCAAAGAGCAGAGTTTCTGACAACAAACAAGCGGACCGTCAGCATGACAAGTCCGGTTTCGAGTCCAACAAAATCTGTCACGGGCCGGAAAAATGAATACTCCCTCCGTCCCTGAGTATGATTTATACGACATGGCGAGTGACAAATCTTCTGCTCAACTCGCTAATCGGCAGGTGGCAGCCCTCAACCTCAGCGCTGGTCTATTACAAAGGACAACGCTAACGTCCACACGTGTGGTGTGAACCAAATCTGCCCACACATCCTATACACGCAGGTTACGCCACGTCATCGCGTGCATGCATGTGGAATTTTTTTTGAATTTTCAGTTTTTAAAATGTTTTATCTCTTAAATAAAAATATCATATTGAAGGTTCGTTTTCTCCATTAGATCCCTCGCGACAAGATTTTCGAAACTAGATCTCATATCAATATATTTCGATGTTTTTTTATTATTAAAAGTTGCCATGTCTACTGCACATGAATTGACATGAGTTTAACTGAAGTTGCCATGATATGTTTCAGCTATTTTCTTCTACATTGATAAATTTTGACATATTATAAAATGGTGAATTAAGAAACTAGACTTGACATGAACTATAAACTAAAATGCCATTGTTAGAATATATAACCGTATTATGTGTATAGATATACGGTTGTATATGTGTAGTCTTTGTATAGGTGTCCGTATATTGTACGATACGAACTCTGCCTTGTAACCTCTATATATTGATCAATACAAGGCACCACAACGCGTGGTTTTCCCCAATCTTACATGGTATCAGAGCTGAGCAGCCGGTTTCGTCGATGCCATTCACCGTGCCAGGCACGGTGACCCCGGATGCGACTCCACCGTCGCCGCCGCCACGGTCCTCTCCCCGGTCGCCGCCACCGACTTCGCCTCGGTCGCCGCCACCGACCTCGCCTCGGTCGCCTGGGTCCCGGGCCACTGCCGAGAGCCCTGCTGGGAGCTCCGATGGCGACCCTGCCGAGAGTCCTTCTCCTACTATAGTAGCGTCACCACTGGCAACGCCGTCGCCAGCTCCTGTAGTTGTGGATCCACCCCGGACCCGCCGGACGCGGGCCCCTCCACTGCCTCCATCTCATGCCATGGCCACTCGTGCTAAACAGGGCATTGTGCAGCCGAAAAATATATTTGATCTTCATGTTGAGGGTTTATCTCCCATACCGAAGACTTATCGTGGTGCTCTCAAGGATCCAAATTGGCATTCCGCTATGGTTGAGGAGTATGGTGCTCTTCTCTCCAACAACACTTGGGACCTCGTTGATCCACCTCGCAATGCTAACATTGTTACTGGTAAGTGGATCTACCGTCACAAGATGAAGTCTGATGGTTCTTTGGATCGCTACAAGGCTCGTTGGGTGCTTCGTGGATTCACTCAGCGCGAAGGTATCGATTTTGATGAAACTTTCAGCCCGGTCGTCAAGCCAGCCACTATTCGTACGGTGCTCTCTCTTGCTCTCTCCAGTGCCATCCACCAACTTGATGTCAAGAATGCATTCCTCAATGGAACTCTCGTCGAGACTGTTTATGCTCGTCAGCCTTCTGGGTTCACTGATCCTCGCTTCCCTGACAAGGTTTGTCGTCTCAACAAATCACTCTACGGTTTGAAACAGGCGCCTCGTGCATCGTTTCAGCGGTTTGCTTCGTTCATTGCATCGGCTGGTTTCATTGGCTCCAAGTCCGACAGCTCGCTGTTCGTTTATCGGCGTGGTGCTGACATGGCCTATCTCCTGCTCTATGTGGATGACATTATCCTAACTGCATCATCCTCGACATTGTTGCATAGTTTGATTGCCACTCTTCATACCGAATTCAGTATGACGGATATGGGCGATCTTCATTATTTTCTGGGCATCTCTGTCACACGCAGCAAGGACAGTCTCTTCCTCTCACAGGAGAAGTATGCATTGGATCTTCTTGACAGAGCTGGCATGTTGCAGTGCAAACCCATCTCTACTCCAGTTGATACTACCTCCAAACTTTCAGCCAAGTCCAGTGATCCCGTTGCAGATCCCACCGAGTATCGTAGTATTGCAGGCGGTCTTCAGTACCTCACGTTCACTCGGTCGGACATCTCTTATGCAGTGCAGCAGATTTGTCTTCATATGCATGATCCTCGGGCTAATCATTTGCTACTTGTGAAGCGTGTGCTTCGCTATATCCGCGGCACCACCAGCCATGGCCTCACTTTGTTTCGACGCAGCTCCAACAAATTGCTGGCCTACTCTGACGCTGATTGAGCAGGTTGCCCTGACACTCGCCGGTCTACCTCAGGTTATTGTGTCTTCCTTGGCAATAACCTGGTGTCGTGGTCTGCTAAGCGGCAGCACACGGTCTCTCGCTCTAGCGTCGAGGCCGAATACAGGGCAGTTGCAAATGTCGTGGCTGAAACATGTTGGTTACGGCAACTTCTTCAGGAGCTTCATCGACCAGTGACTGGTGCCACTGTGGTGTTTTGTGATAATGTGAGCTCTATTTACATGACACAGAATCCCGTTCATCATCAGCGCACCAAGCATGTGGAGACCGATTTGCACTTTGTGCGCGACCATGTCACCACAGGCGAGGTCCGGGTTCTTCACGTTCCGAGTTCTTCTCAATTTGCGGACATCTTCATCAAAGGATTGCCATCCCCTCTCTTCTTGGATTTTCGGGACAGTCTTAACATTCGTCGACGCCCGTTTACGACTGAGGGAGGGTGTTAGAATATATAACCGTATTATGTGTATAGATATACGGTTGTATATGTGTAGTCTTTGTATAGGTGTCCGTATATTGTACGATACGAACTCTGCCTTGTAACCTCTATATATTGATCAATACAAGGCACCACAACGTGTGGTTTTCCCCAATCTTACAGCCATGATATATGCACTTAAAATTGCCATAGTTCATACAAAAAATAATTATCATGGTCAAAGTACTGGCATTGCCATCATAAAAAAACTAAAATTGTCATGCTGTACAAACTAAAATTGCCACATGGCAACTTTAGTTTAAGCATTATGCCAACTACAATGTAAACATCATGGCAATTTTTGGGCAATTTTTTTTCGTCAAAACATATCAATATGTGGTCTAGTTTTGAAGATCTCGTCGAGATGGATTTAATGGTGAAAATGATTTTTAATTTGGTTTTTAATTAGGAGATAAACCATTTTTAAGCCGAAAACAAAAAAGATTCTTGCTGATGTTATCTGTTCATACGTGGCAAAATGAGTGGTGCTGGAGATATGTGGACGATGTGCAAGATGCCACACGTGTGGGCGCTAGTTTTTTCAATTACAAATCTGTATAATGGTAACCATTATCTAGAGACGGGGAAACAAAGTAATCGAGTTTGCTAAAAAATTGAGATTGGCAAAGAATTCTATCAATTTTAGATGTTTCAGCTGCCAAGATCACACGTCATTACTTCTAGTGTTCTTTGTACTATTAAGATTAAAGATGAATAGATTGAAAATTTCTTCCGAAAATAAACAAGAAGCTCACACGTCATGGAGATAGAAGGATGGTTTGTAGGTGTCTTGTCATGCAGGTATGCAACATCACACTACAGGATGAATGTGTCGCTATTGCTTCAAGATGCTTCGAACCGGACTTGCAAGAATATGCTGGCATGTCTCGTGCTCGTAGTATGATCGCACCACACCACATTTCTTGTCTTATACTCCCTCGGTCCCAAAATAACTGTCTCAAGTTAAGTACAAACTTTGTACTAGAGCTAGTACAAAATTGAGACACTTATTTTGAGATGGAGGACATCATGATCTTCAGGTGCAATATATACACGAATGGCCAAGACTTCGCAAAAATTAAAAAGAATGACCAGGAACGAGTGCTCTACTTAATAGTGGAAAACATCCGTGCTGCAAACGACTAACACTGCAGGTAGTTGCAGAGGTGCTAAGCTTCGTGCGATAGCAATTTAATCATTCTAAATTAAAAGAAACATGTCGTTGTTTGATCTTTTATAACAAATTAATTGGAAAGATGTTGTTATTCGTTATCCTGAAAATAACTAGAGGGAAGCTGGATAAAATAAAATCTACCTAGGATGACTGTTTCTTAGGTGTCTTTATGAGAAGACCATACTTAAGGTCATGGTGAAAGAAACCGATATATTGTTAGCATGGGAAAACCATAAATCCTGGATATCAATCCTTGACTCCAACAGTCCAACTCTTGAACATTTGTTGAAGGTGTGGGAGAATCATATTCATTTTTGTACATAGGGAAATTAGTTTGCCTTTTTTTTATCAGTGCCCCTGCCTCAAGGCCAGTTTGTTTCACCTCTCAATTCTCCAGAATCTGATTCTGGGAATCTGCCCACAAAATCGTGTGCCCGCTTGGTGAAGACTGGGTCGGGTGGAGAAGAGACGGGCGGGCGGGTGCGGTGAAGACAGGTAACCGAGCGTACGGGACGATGCGGCGGAGTAGGGTGGCTGCGGCCAACGGATCTGACGGCGCTAGGTCAGTGTCGCCGGTTGGAGGCGAGAACCCTAACTCGAGGGCTCACACGGCTGGTACGGTGAGACGAACACGAGGGGGAGAGGAGTGCGAGAGATGTGAGGGTGTGCTTTCGACCTCTCTTAGTTTGGACCGAGTGGCAATTTTAACGTAAATTGGTTATCAAATAGGGGTAGTAATTCAAAACGAACTGGCCTTGAGGGATCGCCCACTTCTTTACTCTTATAAAATAGAACTACATAACAATTTATACCGCCAAACTCACGTGCAGCATCACTATTTATAATAAGCTTTGATACTTGTTTAAAA